GATGATATTTCAATTTAAGTCACACGAGCCCTCAGACGTTTCCGCCGTCTGGTTCGGGGGTGTGACATATAGATCCAATAGATTATTACTATTTTACTCTGATATATAGAGATACATTTTACTATGATTGATTTTTGTATGGATTTGGTGGTTTGAAAATGAATTTTTTTACTAGTATTTTTGGGACGTTACATATAGGGTGGTAGTAAATGATGCATAAGAGGCTAGCGTAAAGGCTTAATCCGTCCAACATTATAGGCTTAATTCGATTTTACACTTTTGGACCCTCAAGTTTTCTGTAATGATACAAATTATCCTCAGAACAATTTTCTTTGCATCTAAAGGTTATAAGTTTCGAACCTTAGCCCCAAATTCATATAAGAGGCTAGGCTAAAGGCTTAATCCCTATTCCTTCCTCCATCGTCATTGTCGATCTGCATCTTCTTCCTCATTCCTCTCCACCATAATCATCAACTGAAAGTGAAGATTTCACATTGGATTCAGAGGATGAACATCCAAGAAGAAGACTGTATAATTGTGAAATTGTGATCTGGGATGTGGATCAGGGACGTGAAACGGCAGAGTGGGTTTTCAATGTGTGGGTTTTACCAACAAAGGAAGAAGAAGATTGTCGGAAATGGGTCGTCAGTGGGGGCAAGGACGACGTCAACAACTTGGTTTCATCGGAGAGAGTAAATGAATGTGAAAGAGAAAGGGTCGAGAGAAAACAAATGGTATCTAGTTTTCTTGTGAGCACGAAGGAGAGGAATGAATGAACAACCCTTTTCTTTTCTTTTTTTCTTTTACTTTTAATTAATAAAATTCTTAAAGAAATATGAAAAATACAAAAAATATATAATAAGGGCAAAACGATCGATTCAAGTTCTTCAGAGACTAAAATCACGAGAATTATTCGATTTTGGAATTTTCATGCAAGTTGAAAACTTTCTGAACCCTGTTCATAGTTTTTGCGAAACCATAGGGACCAATTTTACAATTTTATCTAATAATTTTCTATTAAACAATAATATGGCCTAGTAATTCCTATTTTTTCCCCTAAGGGCATCTCCAACCCACCCCAAACTCCATTTCTTCCCCCGTTCTTCTCCAACCCTACCCCATATTCACCTCCATTTTTGGAGATATGAATAGTATTCCCCCATATACGGGGGAATACTATTCATATCTCCAAAAATGGAGGTGAAGTTTGGTTGTCAATTTTAGTCCCTCTCATTTTTATTTTATACATTTCTAGTTTATTTTATCTACTAATTATAATTTAAATGCAATATTTAATATTTATAATATCATGTTATATACTAATTTATATTAATTAGACAAAACTGCACAAATGGTCCCTGTGGTTTGATTAAAATTGCCACTTTGGTCCAAAAAGTTTTGGACTAGCACCACAGGTCCAAAGTTTTCATTTTGTTGCGAGTTTGGTCCAATTTACATTAAAAAAATTTGTAATGACGATTTTACCCTTCTTTTTTGTTTTTTTTTCAGTTTTTTTTTTATTTATTTAAATATTTTCATAATTAAAAGAAAAATAAAAAAGAAAATAATTCTCTCTCTCTCTCTCTTCCCCATAAACGATCATTCGTGTTTTTTTTAAGACCCAAAAGAAGGCAGCAGCCTCCATTACCCACTCGTCGGAGAAACACCATCCAAAACCCCTCGTTGCTGCTTCATTCCCTAACCACCAGAAACACCAAGAAACACCCCAACACCACCGATGACCACCTTGCCCCACCACAACATCACCGCTGCTACCACCCGTTGACCCTCTGCCTTCACAGATCAAACCCAACTCAACACCATTCCCTTCTTTCGTTCGTCGCCGTACAACAAGAAAACAAGAGACTGTGAATAGTACCCAACACAAGGCATCATAAGGAACGGAAGCGTCATTGCAAGTAGAGGAGAAATCGAACACCAACTTCGATTTTGGGGGGACGATCCTTGGTTCCTTGCTCGTTGCAGGCCAGAAAGGAGACTGAGAGAGGTATCGGCGATTGTAGATCGTGAGGAGGGAGAAGTCTTTGGGTCGACGAGAGCGAAGCGACGCAGGTGGGAAGAAGCAGCGAGCGGCTGTGATTTCGGGGCTGCTGGGTCGTGGATGAGTAAGGGGAAACACCCTCGTTGTTTCATCTCCTTCATTATTCAATCCATTTCTAAATCAAACCTTCGATAATCAGATATCAATTTTTGACTATCCAAAAGTCAAACCAGTTCAAAATCAATTATTCAATTCGAATCCTTTGTTATCCAAAATCGATTTCAGTCCCGTTTTGCTGCAAGCCTTCGTTATCACCTTTGTCAATTGAAAATTAAAGACCATCGATGGGTTTTTTGGTGAGGAACAGAGGAAAGGGAGCATATCTGTTTGTGCGTATGTGTTTTAATTTTTGAAATAAAGTTCCAGAAACCCAACAAACGAAATACAAAATCAGTTTCATAAATGAAATACAAAATCGATTTCAAA